GAGGACAACCAATACTTTGGCTCCAGCCCTCCAAGGTCAGTGAGGACCCAAGACAGGAGAAAACCTCTGTTGCGACATCTGTACCTGGGGAGTCCCTGGTCTTCTGACCAAGAAGGTTAAGGAGCCACACAGGATTTGATCTATGGTGTAGAGAGTGCCTAAAGAGAGTCACCAGGAGGAAAAAAGAGTCTCCCAAGTCTTTCCACAAAGCAGCTTGGTCAAGCAATGGCTGTGTCTCATCCTGATGGCTCACACTGATGGAGAAACGAAGAGGTGCTGTTCATGGCTCCAGTGAGATTCCGGAGGAGAGTTGACTGACCTTGATGGATAGTAAGAGATTAGTTATTAATATGAGTCTTACTTTAACATGGTTTTGAACATCCTGCAGAAAAGTATAACTAGTAGAGGCATAAAATTATGCCATAATAAAGTACTAGCTATAAAGAAACTGAAATCACTGAAACTTGAAAATCTCCAGCTCACCAGTAATTGATGACTGTTAGGAGCTAATGGGCTAAATGTAATATTGAGTTGCTAAATGCAGGATGGGTTATGTGTCACCTTGGATTTAAAAAAATGTTGTATTTATGCCAATAATTCTAGGATCATTAAGAAAACAAAGTTCAGTGCACCTTGACAAAGGCCAAGATTGCAAGACCCCCAAGGCTGATCTGCCCAAATGTGTAATTGGAACCCTTCAGCCACTTTCTCATCAGTTTGGTGCATCCCCACTAAATGTCGTTGCTAGCCCTTCTGGTCAAGCCTTGCCCGGTCCAATGGATGTTTGAGAGACTTTGTACAGAGTGACATCAACTGTAGCTCCTGGTCTTGGCAAAATATCCCAGATATTAGCCCCTAAAACCAAAAACTTTGTAAGGACATCTTCCCCTCCAGGTGAAAGCATGTCCTTGAGGCAGGTGTGACGTGGCCCCTACAACACCATTTTAAACAGATTCCTTGTTAACTCTCCTTAGTGCTCCTGCCTACTCCCCTAATTTCCTGCTTGCTGAATCATGCAGACTAAGCAGCCACAAGACACACCATTGTGCTGGGTACCTCATCTCAGGAGGCCTCTCTCACCACTGAAGCCACTCCTAGTCTCCACCCCCAGCACCAAAAACTGCACCAAATAAAACCCAGAAATCCTTCCCTGTAGAACCTCTATACACCCAGTCCTAGGGTTGACACTCGACTCCATGCCAGATGACACCCCCTAGTTAATAAAGCTGGTGTCCTTGTGCTCGGCATCCGTGCATCTTACCACTACACTTCAATCTGACAAAAGCCATCTAGGACAAATCAACAGTCAACATCATACGAAACAGACAAAAACAGAAAAGCTTCCACTATAAAATCAGGAAAAACACAAGGATGTTCTCTGTCACTACTTCTACTAAATATAATTCTGAAAACATTAGCCAGAGCAATTAAACAAGAGAGAGAAATAAAAAGGAATAAAAATAGGAAACAAAGAAGTGAAATTATCACTATTCCCAGATGATGTGACACCCTACATAGAAAACTCGAAAAATTCCTCTAAATGACTTCTAAATTTTTTTTTTTGTCTTTTTCGTTTTTATCAGTACCAGAGATTGAACTCACAACCGCACACTTGCAAGTCAGACACTTATACCGCTGAGCTAAATCCCCAGCCCCATGACTTCTATATTTAATAACCAAATTCAGTAGCATGGCTGAATGCAAAGTCAATATTCAAAAATCAAGAGCATTCCTATACAAAAACAGTAAACACTTCACAATACCATCATCAAAACAAAATAAATACTTAGGAATCAATCTAACAAAGGAAATAAAAGATCCCTATATTGAAAATTATAGTAGTTTGAAAAAGGAGATGGAAGAGCACATCAGAAAATGTGAAGACATCCCTTGCTCGTGGATAGGAAGTACCAACATAGTGAAAATGGCCACACTCCCAAAATTGCTATACAGATTTAACGCAACCCCAATCAAAATACCAATAACATGGGGCTGGGGAATTAGCTCAGCGGTATAAGTACCTGCCTTGCAAGCAGGCGGTTGTGAGTTCGATCCCCGGTACCGATAAAAATGAAAAAGACAAAAAAAATACCAATAGCATATCTCAGGGAACTAGAGGAGACATTCCTAGAAGAGTTGGGTGGTAGGAGGGCCTGCGGTTTTTGGGCTACCTGGGCTTCACGGACTGTTCCAGGAACAGGACAGTGGGGTGAAGCTTTATGTTGGGTAATTCCTGTGATATTTCAGCAGCTTTACCCATAAAAACAGATGGTGAGGGGCAGAGGAATGAATTATAATCTGATTATAAACTGAGGTACAGAACATGCAGCAAAGAGAGACGTCATAGCATCTCTACAGGCTCCCCCAACTGTGACCACCATGGACCAGAGGTTCAATGCATTCCCGGATTCATGCGCAAAAGTCCTTCTGGCTTGCTTGCTTTCCTCTTTCTCTACTGGAGATCTAACCTTTGATCTCCCACAAGCTAGATAAGGCTCTATCATTTATCTGCATCCTGTCCCCGAAAGGCATTTCTAATTGTTTGATTTCAGATGTTTTTTGACTGGGAAGCTATCTGAGTAATTTATTGAGTAACAATGGCCAAAGTGATGGAGGGGTTTCAAGATAAGGCTGAAGTTGTTTATCCAGTATTTTAAAAAGAAGAAAAGAGTCTGTCCTGAAAGTCATGTAAAATTCCACAGCCCATCATTCAGTAGACAATTTAGAAAGAGTTACAAACAGAAGCATTGGTCATTAGGGCAAACTCTTGTGTTCAGTAGATAATAAGTAAAGGTAATGCCAGATTAGTTGGATTTGTTTTAAAATGTTGATGGACCACTGTAGTGTGATTCTGTAGTAAGATTTCAACCAAACCAAAACAAACAAGATTTTAGCAGGCAGCTGACAAAAGTGTCTCTAGCTATGTTTCAGCAGACCATGACTATTGATTATAGCTAGTTAATGTGAATTGGTCCCTACCCAATTAGAGCTGCAGTGTGACTAGATACATTGAGATGATCCTTAGGGGTGAGAATGACACTGTGCTGTGAATGGTTTTGTTTTGGTCATGCAGTACTGGGGACTGAACCCAGGGCTTCACATAGACTAGGCAAGTACCTACCACTGAACTGCATCCCTGCCTTTTATATTTTATTTTATTTTAAGTATTTACTTTCTGTTAGCAACAGGTATTTATTTATTTATTTATTGGTACTTGGTACGGGGGATCAAACTCATAACTGTGTGCTTGCAAGGCAGGTGCTTATGCCACTGAGCTAAATCCCCAGGTCCCCTTTATTTTATATTTTTAACCCATCTCATCAATCTTATCTCATTTGACTTTACTTTATACAAGGTCTTGCTAAATTGCCTGAAAAACTTTTGATCCTCTTGCCTGAGTCTCTGAAGTAGCTGATATTATAGTTATGTTCCAGCCACTTCCATGCCCAGCTTCGGTGACTACTATTATTATTTTTAGAAGTTGTATATCTTTGAGATATCAGAATATCTGTGGTTAAAATTACAGCATATGTATTTAGGAGTTGTGTTCATACCACTTCCCCAGTAAAAATACCATGGGTATCCCAGCAAAAATGGAGAGTTTACTAAAACAAGAAGAAAAAAAGGTTAGTAATTGTTGAAATTGATACCTTGGAAGTTCATGGTCATACTGTCTATTTTTGTTTATATCTTAAAATTTCCATGATAATAAGAAATACTTCTAATTATGGAACATCAGTGTTTACTGACAATGAAAAATCCCTGTTTTCCTAAGCTTTAAAATTGTGATATGATTGTGTCCCTACCCAAATTTCTGAAAATTGTTCATTTCCAAAAAAACTCATTTAACTGATGACTGTTACTTGTTGTATTCCACATTTTCCTATTGCACCCAATTTTTTTTCAAGTATTTTTGTGGTTTGATTGTCAATATTACAAAAAAAAGTACATTTTTAAGAATACTCCAGTGTCGGCATTTAGCTCAGTGGCATAAGTAACTGCCTCGCAAGCATGAGGTCATGAGTTCGACCCCCAGTGCAAAAACAAAAAACAAAAAACAAAAAAGCTCAGGAAGTGAGTCTTCTCTTGAAGAACTTTAAAATATTATACTATTCAAGATGAAAGAAGTAATATCAATAGGGATGAGATTAATGAGCATCCTTATTTAATTCTCAATGGTGAAGAGACATTTTCCAATTACTGAACAGTTTATAAGGGTTTGTGTCCATTCCCTTTAAAAGTGGAAGGTCTTTCTCCTCGAACTGTAGTTTCCAAGATTTAAGGGTGGGTTGGTATGGAACATGATCAAATGATTTTATAATTTATTAATATAGTCATGCAGATTGTGTTCTTATATCTGATCTCTGTTAATTACATTATTTTCTGGGGTCAAAGAACAAAGATAAAGAAGTTGTTTAGTTTAGATCTCATTGGTATAGTTTTGATTCAGCGATCAGGCAACACTTCAGTCCACCAAGTAGAATAAACGCCCAGGTGACTGAGGAGAGCCTGGTTTTTATAGACAAAGAAGGGTTACACAAATTAGAAATAAGAAACGATAAGTTGATTCATCATTTTAAACTCACCTACTTGGAAGTAGGAGACCCCAGGATAAAACAGTGGGAAACAACTGACTACTTAACATCCGGGTACCTCTGTGGTGTGTAAACTGAGGCAGGGGACATTTCATTCTCAGGGAACAGGAAATTGGGCTGTTACCTCTCTGTTGCTGGTGTCTCAGAAGGTGAAATAAGTGAAATAATTGGGCTCCATTTTGACTTTTTAAGCCTGGTCTGTTGGGACTCATAGCAGGGGCGGCATTCAGAACAGAGACCCCTGTGTCTTTTATTAGTGTTTTATGCTGGGAATGAAAACCTGGGGCTCCAATGTGCTAAGCTCGTGCTCTACCAGACATCTTCAATTTTTGGTTAGCTCTGGTGTTAAATCATCTTTGAGATGCAGTGAACTCAATGATAGGATTATTTCCAAAAGATGAGAAGTATAAAACAAAAGAGGCTTTTATTCTGAGAACACGGAGAGAAATAACTGGCACCCCTGGACTGCTGGAGTCCAGCGATCTCTTCAGCGGACATGTGGTGTGGAGAGTACATAAGTAGCCTTGGTTTGGGGTGGAACCTAAGGGGGCATCAGAGATGCAGGGGTAGCCCATTGGTCCTAGGTTTGGCGCTATAGATAACTTCCCAGGGGTGGGGAGGATGGAGTCACAGGTAAATTCTTAGGGGCAGGGAAATAGGAGCTTCCTGGTTCTGGTTGAGGCTTTCCTGGCTACAGAGTCCTGTCTGGACCAAAACCCTTTCATATCCCATCTGATGATTATTATTATTATTATGAAAAGGGGTGAAGATTTCTCTCTTTAACTACTTTCTGCTGGCAGAGGTCGCTGTACTGGAGTCTAGGGGAGTTGATGGAATGATGGTTGATGCCCAGGTAGACGCTGGTGCCAGGTGTTTTAGCCAGGACAACTTCACTGGTGAATGCACATATGCTAGACTGGAAAAACAAAGAGACAAAATGTTATGAGGAGACATGGCACTGTCATATTTAAGGACCCAGGTGAGGTAGAAGGAAAGGTGCCTTTGATTAGACATGTCATTATATCAGGATGACTTTGAGGTAGGATCATTGTCACAGTGAGGTAGAATTCTGAAAATTAAGTGTGAGGTTAGGAGGAGTGATGTTATGAGAGGTGATTACTCCCCCATCTAAAAGCGTAAAAGTTAAGAGGGTAGGTGTGTAAAACTTGTCTCCGGTCCAGGAGTTGAACTGGAAAAAATAGGGGAAGTAGGGAAGGTGGTGGCTGTACCAGTATAGGGAAGGTAAGAGCTTGGGCTTTCAGGGATGTCACGTTTCACCAGACAGCGAGGGTAGAAAGAAGAACAACTGTCATTGCATAGAACATTATGAAATATTATCTTACATATGATGTGGGAGTCTTTGGGAAACACTGTCAATAGTCCTGCTGTAAAAATGCTCATTAATAGAAAGTAAGTAATTAGGAACCAAAGTGGATAACAAATTATGACAGCCTGAGAGTCATGGCTGTGAGGCCTTGGTAAGGCAGAGCTGAGTAGGCAACCAGATGGTTAGATCTAGGGCCTAAGTGATGCAAAATCAGAATGGCCATCTAGCAACATTGATTTAGGTATGGGTCACTGTAACCTGGTTGTATTTCTTGGAATGATTTGCTGTAACAGAACTTCAGCAAGTATCTCAGCAGTTTCCCTGGTTGTGAGAAAGGCTTTTATGTATCCTGAAAAAGTATAAACAAAGTGAGAAGACAAAATATATCTGTCAGTCTTGACCAGGGTTATCTGAGAAATTGGTGAATAAGAAAGGAAGGAGGTGGTCTTATATCACTGAGGAGAGGTTTACTAGCAATAACAGGTGTAAGCTGTTGAGGCCTCAGCATGTCTAAGTCAGCCTGTATAAAAGGCATCTTAAGATTTAGGACTGGGGGGCTGGGGGTTTAGCTCAGTGGCATAAGTGCCTGCCTTGCAAGCAGGCAGTCATGAGTTTCATCCCTGGTACTGATAAAAATGAAAAAGACAAAAAAGAAAAAAAACCATTTAGGACTGGGACCTGCACAAAATGGGCCCTGTTTGTAAATGGCATAGGTTGACCATCAATATCCCGTCATAGAGATTGAGGACTTACTATAGCAGTCTGAAAACTCGGGAAGAACTCTGTATATATGGCCTCTATGTCCACAAATATAGAGAATTGTCTTACCTGAGACTTTCGTGCAACTTGGACTCTGAGACAGACACTTTAAAGGGAGCTGATGTTGCTCTGAACCCCCTCAGTCTTTGGCAGCAATTTTTGTTGGTAACAAATCTGGCAGTGTTGGCATTTTAGGATGGCTTACCCACTCTGTGGTGGCTAAGACAGTCCAGCAGCCCTGGAGTAAGGTCTCAAAGAACGCCAGGATGGGGCACTCTCTCTTGCCCAATGTCTTCTGCTGCATTTGAGCGTGGTCCATGTGAAGCCAGGCAGCTCCACCTTGTGTAGGTTTACCTGCCTCAGAATTCCAAGTGTCAAAAGTGTTAAAAATATGAAAAACCATATTAAGATCTCTCTAAGGTTTGAAGGTCAAGTTTTACCTTTTTGTTTGTGATTTGGACTACAGTAGAATTAAGTAAGTGTGCAGGAGTTTAATATTGGCATTTTAGATCAGAGAGCAGGCTTTATCTGGATGGCATATTGCATTTAGGGTATTGTGTGGAATTATATATTTAACAAAAAAGGCTTTAGTCTGACCTCCCCTTTTGGAGTATAATCTCATTTTAATGTAAACATTTTGCAGTAAAGGTTTACCAATCTTATGAATAAATCTATAAAAACTGATCTAATACTGTCAAATTTTGAACACATTTACTTTTTTTTAACCTGTTATTTGCAGTAGTATGAACCAAGACAAATAAAATTTTGTTTTTAGACAATATTAGAACTTTTAACAAAACCCTTGTCTTGGAACAGTGGTTTCCAGCAAAAAGGAATTTATAACCTTAGTTGTTAAACAGGAGATTGGTGAAGGCTTTGATTGATAAACAAGGCTGGTAAAATTATCAGGTGGCCAATAACATTGATTAAATGGTTTGAGAATTGAAATTAAAAAATAGCATCTTTTGAGCGGAGCCCCTGAGCTGCTGTTTTGCGTGCTCCAGCAGAGCACACCCTGCATGGGAGTGGGGCCAGCGTAGGGTCATAGTGCGCACGGGCGGGCTGGGACTGCCCCTGGAAACGCATAAGGCAGCAGTGATGACAGCGCACAGGGGAGGGAGGGGCTGGGATGACGCATGGGGGAGGGGCTGGGACGTGGCTACAGAGTGGCTGCCAGTCACCCTGGGATAAGGAAACACAGGCAGATGGTATCTCACTGTGTGCTTTGCAGTGAGAAAATTGCTGTTGGCAGCAAAATGAAGTATCATGTGCACCGCAACAGAGCAGCTGTTGCTGTTCACAAGAGGAGCACAAGGGGGCACCCATTGATCATGAGATCCATCCCAAGATGGCGGTGCCCTCTCACGTGGTGGAGGGTTGTAACATGGTGACCGTTCCCGGGGCAAGCCGGAACAATCGTGCAGCTTGCTGGAAGGGCACAATGACCAAGATTGGGTGTGGTGGGTGGGTGGCAAGAATGCTGTAGAGGTCAGAGAATTATGAGGAGAATGAGTTGGAGACTTTGAGGAAGCACTAACAGAGTGATTAGAGTTGCTAGGAGAGTTATTGGTCCCAGGAGATGAAGAGGAAAACGGTTGCACAGCGGGAGGCAATTGAGACACAGAGGGACCAGAGCTGCCAAAAAAATCAGGATAGGGGGAGGGAAGGGCAGAACCATGGCGGGAAATGAGTTTGGGGGTAGGCAGGCGGCGGCCAGGAAAAGAATGGGAGAACATCATCAAGCGAATCCTGAGGGCAGGACGGAAAAATTCGCAGCATGGTAGAGTTAACTAAAAGTATCTGGGCATGAGCACAAGACTTAATGAGAGATGGGCGTGTTCTCAGAACAAGGAAGAATTGAATATAAGGAAATTCTAATAACTTGTCCCGACCTGAGAGAAATCATACAAGTTTCTGAGAATGCAGGGGTCAAATGTTCCTTCTCTGGGCCAACGATCGCCGCTAAGTGGATAGGTTGGCCAGACCTCCTGGCAGTAAAAAGTTATTGTTTAGTTTTCATGGTACTTTTAATCTTAAGAGTATGTAAATTGGAAATTAGGCATTGTAGAGGCTTTTTGCGGGAGTTAGAAAATAGTTTCCCATGAATGATTCAGGCAAGAAATAAGCCATGATCCAGAAAACAAGCTGTCTCTCATTTGTGGCACCACATGGTGGCTAAGGTTCCAAAAACTCATATATTCCAGTCACTGAGAGATTTACGAGTGGAGTACACCGTGGGGTCAGTAACAGTTTTGCCCATGAAAATGTGAGGCTTTAAGGGAAGTGAGGGTCTTTCAGTGTGGGCGGTCCAGAAATCTCTGCTTTGGGCTATCCGAACCCAAAGAACATGAGAGATTTTAGAGTGTGGACACAGGTTTGCCCAGAAAAACCCTGCCTTGGGCTGTCTGAAGGATGTGAAAGTGCCACAGACCCACGGGAATGGGGAGAAAACTCGACTGGGGCAGACCCCAATGCCAAGAGTTCCCCGGACAGTTCGCACTTGAAATCAACCTGGCCGGTGGTGAGTGCGGGAGGCTGGCAACAAGTCGGGTCTCGGGAGAGGAAGAAGCATAGAAATTAATCCAGGATGTTATCTGGTTTGTGAATTGGCTGGGGACTCAACTGGGAACTCAAAACGGGTGTGTCCCAGGAATCAATCACCTGCCGATCGAGTCATGGCACCAAATGATAGGATTATTTCCAAAAGATGAGACGTATAAAACAAAAGAGGCTTTTATTCTGAGAGGGATAACTGGCACCCCCTGACCACTGGAGTCCCAGCGATCTCTCCAGCAGACACATGGTGTGGGGGGTATGTAACTAGCCTCGGTTCGGGGTGGAACCTAAAGGGGCATCAAGGATGCACGGGTAGCCCATTGGTCCTAGGTTTGGCACCATAGGTAACTTCCTAGGGACGGGGAGGATGGAGTCACAGGTAAATTCCTAGGGGCGGGGGAGTTAGGAGCTTCCTGGTTCTGGTTGAGGCTTTCCTGGCTAGAGTCCTGTCTGGGCCAAAACCCTTTCACTCATTATATATATTAAAATAAACTGCTGAATTTCATAATCCATTATGACTGGGAAAAATATTTTCCTTTTTTCTTTTCTTTCTCTGTCTCCTCTTCCCTCTCTCTCTCTCTCCCTTCTTTCTTTCTGAGACAGGCTCTCACTATGCACTCCAGGATGCTTTGCCCTTACTACGCAACCCAGGCTGCCCTCAAACTCATGGTCATGCTGCTGTCTCAGCGTTCTGAATGCTGGGATCCCAGGTGTGCCCCACCATGCCTGACTAAAACATTGTTTTGCTATGTTCATTTTTAAAAACGCTTTGCCTTCTATTTTTTTTTTTCCTTTCTCAACTGATTTTGCCAGGCTGAAACGTTGATTAGCTCCTTTAGACATGGCTTGCTCTGTCCTTTTTATCTCTCACAGAGCATTGGCTGAGACAAAGCAAAAGTGGTGTGAAAGTTGATTTGAAACATGAGGAGTAAAGTGATCAGGGAAAAACTGGCTCTGCAGAGCAGACTCGGGCCACATAAAGAGAAAAGGATGAAGAAAAATACTGCAGAGTGGGCCAAGGCTAGTGGGCACCGCCTGCGTCCGGGTTCCTTCCTGGTGTCCGCAGCCAGGAAATCTGAGTTCTGCGCACAGGGTCCTGTAGTCCTGGGCCAGCAGGGGATCTTGAAATTTACAGGTCCCGCCCATGTCTCCAGCCAGCTTAGCCACCACCTCTGTCCTATACCACAATCAGTTTCTAGTTTCCCAATGTATGTCTTAGGAGAGTTCCTTTTGCAAATTAGTTTTTATTTGTAAATTCAGCAAATAAAAATTGCACATATTCAAGGTATACAGCACGATTACTTGCTTTAAGTGGACATTGTGAAATGATCAAATCTCTTTTTTTGTTTGTTTTTTTCTTTGAAAAGGAGTCTCATTTTGTAGCTGAGGCTGGTTTGGAACTCACTATGTATCTTAGCCTGACTTGAAATCCAGATCTTGCTGCTTCAGCCTCCCAAGTGCTGGGATTATAGGCTTGCACCCCTGTGCTTGCCATCATAATCAAATTAACTGATACAGCAATGTGGATAGAGCAGGTGATTTCTAAATGTTTAACTTTGATTAAAATTGGAAGGAACATGTTCGGACTGCACCATAGCCCACAGCTATCCTGTTGGCCCCAACTGGCCTCTAACCTACTCAGCAGCACCGGGAAGTGGCCCTTCCTTGGGATCCTCCTTCCAATTGCTCAGCCCCACACGCATATCCACAGGTGCACACGGCCCCGTGTCTGAGTCCCTGATGACCCTCATGAGAGGAGGCAGGAAGGGGCCTAGAAGGAGCCCAAACTTCCAGTGAGATGAGTCTATGTGGGGAGCCCGTGACCCAGGTGTCCATGATCTGTGAGTGGGTTGACTCTGGGACACTTGGTGACCAAGTAGCTGTGTGACTCCTGGCAATTGTACTCTATTGGCTACTATGTGTCCCTCAGGACCCATGGTCATGGGAGGCTGTGTGACCCCGGCCCCTTCCCCAGAGTGGCCACATGACATGGAGAGACTAAATGACCCTAAGAAGCCTTCTGACATGGAAGCTATGTGACCTCAAGAAGCTCTTGTTTCTTGAGCCAATTTAAGCTCCTGGAGTCCCTGCAGGGTCTCAGGCCCCATCGTGGACATCAGCAGGCTTGGCTTTCCAGAGATCTGCACGGTGTGGCCACACTTTCAGGGGAGTGCTCCACCTCTCTATTTTGCAGGGGCTCATAGCAACTTGGTGCTGAATGAACTGAGTCCTGGGTCTCTGCTCTCCCTACCACACCTAAGCACAGCTCCCAGGGGAAGAGGGACAAGAAAGGGAGGAGGTTCCTGGGAGAGCATGGTAGACACAGGTAGACCCTCAACCGTAAGATTCAGGAAGAGGCTTGGCTCAAACCACTGCTCAGAAATCCTAGCAATAAGAGGGCATGCAGAGTGACACAAGAGATTTTGACTGGTGCAATCACTGTGGAGGTCAGTCTGAAGATTCCTCAAAAAGCTGGATTGGAAGTCCCATTTGACCCAGCTATTTCACTTCTAGGCATATTCCCAGAAGAACTAAAAACATCATGCCACAGTGATATATGTGCACCCATGTTTATAGCAGCACAGTTCGTAATAGCCAGATCTTGGAAACAACCTAAGTGCCCATCAACTGAGGAATGGATAAAAAAGTTGTGGTATTTTTATACAATGGAGTACTACTCAGTTATACAGAATGATCACATAGAGATATTTATAAATAAGTGGGTGCAACTTGAGACCATACTCATAAGTAAAATAAATCAAACTCACATGTGTAATTACCATATAGTCTCACTAGTATAAAAAATGGTAAGAGTATATAAGATTTTATGGTAATCATGGTTCCCCATTATACTGTTTTGAAGTCTTATAATTTTTCATTCATTGGTTGGAATGGCTTTCTTCTGTTTTGTTTGATTTTATTATGTGTGGTGGTATGAATAGCTGCTTTGAAGAAAACAAGACATTATAATAGCCATTGCTGATTTAACATCATCTTGCTTTGAAGTCCTACCATGCTTTTTTTTTTCTTCTGTTTCCATTGGTTCTATCATGTTGTGTCTTACTGGATTTTAGTATGTGTGATAGTATACACATTTTTAATGAAAATGAGATATTACAGTAGCCATTGTTTATTTTCTGTTTTGTTTTTTTTTTTTTTTTTTTTTTTTTTGGTTTTGAATGTCCTGTAATACTTTCACTCACCTGAATCATTTTATACTATTTTGTTATGTTTGATACTATTGTGTGTGAAGGTATGCTCAACTATTTCAAAGAAAGAGACATGGTAGCTACTGTTGATATTTGGTTGTGTTGCTGTGAAGTGCTGTGTTTCTTGCATTGTTCTGATTCACTTTGTTCTGTTCTCTTTTTAAATTAAAAAAAAGATTTTGCAAAAAAAAAGTGCTTTATTTTTGTTTTGGTCCTGGAGATTGAACTCATAACCTCATGTTTGCAAGGCCAGTGCTTACGGTAATGAGCAAAATCCTCAGCCCACAAAGGAGTTGTTTTAAAAAATGCTTGCTGTTTAAAAAAAAAAAAAAAAAAGAATGAAACTCAGCAGAAGAGGGCCCCAAAAGGGGACTGTCCAGCTGGGACACTACCTTATTTCCTCCCTCTTCAGGGATGCCTGTCTGGAGAGAACTGCTCACCTCCATCCTCTAATGGGATCTGGCAGGGCATGGGGGAGGGGCTTCCATTAATGATCAGGTGTACTGCTATTCACCAAAATAAACTCCGGGCCACCCTGGTTTATAGGGAAGCTTGGACAGGATTCCCTCTCCAGGAACTGGGAAGTCCAAAGTGGCTATTTACCAGACATTTGCACAGCGGGACACTCCTAAAAGAAAACATGGTGCATGCAAAGATCCAGAGGTGGGTTCAGAGGCGTGACACAGACAGCCACCTGATGTGCCAGAGGAGGGGGCAGGGAGGAGGAAGCCCCCTTCAGGTCTTCCAGGAATGTGGAATAACTGGCCCCAGAGGCTTTCCAGCCACCTGTACCAAACACCAGCCCTCAGCCCCTACCCCTGGGGCCGCCTTCCTGTTCTGACAGCAGAATGATAAGCCCAGCACTGAGCTCATCTGAGGACAGAACCTGGACAGATCATAGCTGCCTGCAGGGTGGTCAGGGCCTGGGTGCATCCTGCTCTGGAGCCCAGCCAGATACAGAGCTTTCTGATCCAAGTGGAAGGCTGCTCTGCACCCTGCCCTGAGGACTGAGACTGGACATTCCATCAAAAGTGGGAAGAAACCCTGCAGGAGTTCTGAGGTCCTCACAGGCAGCAGGACTATGGGGCCACAGAGCTCACATTCTAGGCAGCTGCGGTTGAGGGGAGGTTCCAGCCAGCCAGATGGGGCCAAGTCTGCAGGGGCCCCTGCTTGGATCCTCTTGAACACACACATCCACATGCAAGCCAGGCACTGAGCAAGGGGCAGTACTGACACACACAAAGCCAGGACTTGTTTTTCTCAGCCTCCCCTTGTCTGATCTCCATGCCTGATTGAAGGTCACACAATAAATACACTGCATTCTACCACATTTTAAAAACTACTTTCTGGATTCCACTGGCAGGAAGATGTACACTTACACTTTCACACCGCATTCGCATATTCTTTGAGGTAGGTTTGTGGAGGGCCTCGGGGTCAGGTCCTGTGCTGGGCTCACAGCACATTCTCCTGTCCGCAGGTGTCTCCTCCTCCACCGTGGCCTCCTGAGAGAGACACGGATGCGCCCCCAGTTCCAATGCAGAGTCCAGCGTGGCCGGTGGATATGGCAGCACACAGACACTTACTGCTTGCTGATGGATGAAAAGGGAAAAGATTCATTAAATACCAGCAGCTCACGAATAATGAAACAGTTCCTTTATTGTTGCTGGTGCTCCTTCCAGTATCCTTTTTAAAAAGCATACGTTATTAATCTTTTATCTAATCGTGGTGACAACTGTCAACTGGTATTATTAGAAAGCTTCCTTCCAGATGAGGACTTAGAGCGGCTCTCGAGGTGCCCGGGTCACCCAGGCACGGAACTGCATGGATGGCACTGCCTCTGTTCTGTCATTCGGCATAGAGTTAAAGACCACAGGAGAGGCAGACACTCAGTGAGGAGCTTTCCCAGCTGCCAGCTGCCATTCTGAACTCTGCCATGCACTAAGGGTGTTCTTGGCCTCTCTCTAGGTGCCGCCTACATGGGGAAGAACACAGGCTTTGTGTATGTTACTGGGGATCAAACCTGAGCCTTCACGCTCAGCTACATCCCCAGGCCTGTTTTAGTTTTTATTTTCAGACAGGGTCTAGTTAGTTCACTATGTTGCCCCGGCTGGACTTAAACGTGTAACCCTCCTGCCTCAGCTTCCCAGAGTACTGGGATCTCAGGTGTGTGCCACCACCACTTACTGGCACACACACTCCACTGAAGAACTGGAGAACTTGTCCCAAAATGTGCCACCAGTACCATGCCAGGCAACAGTCCTGCCAGCTCCCAGACACACCCTGCACCCCAGCTTTCTGGTTCTGTCACCCTTCCTTGAGGTTAACCACTGTCTGACTCCCAGCACCAGCTGCACTGGAGCCTCCACTTTTATGCACATGGGAGCTTACAGTTTTTAGTGTCCGGGTTTTTTTCCTCAGCATCATTTGTAAGTCACCCATGTTATGCATAGCTGTAGATGAGTGTTATTGCCATCATTCCACTGTCTCTTATCTGTCCTATTTTGTGTCCTTTCAATGAATGATTAGTATTTGGGTGGTTTCTAGGATGGATACTACAAGCAATGCTGCATGGGCAGAACTATGAAGTCAGGTGTGTCTCAGAATAAAACCAGGGCCTTGGAAGCAGATTTCCAAGGCAGCTGTATCCTTCAAGCTCCCACTGGCCCTGTATGAGTTCTAGTGGCTCCACTTCCCTGCCAACACTTGGTACTTTCCATGTTAGCTGTTCTGGAGGCCTTCTAAGTCACCCTATTTCTAAATTCCCTCTAAATCCCTTGAAATAGTTCTCATGATCTCGTCACATAAGATGCCAAGCCTCTGAAAGATGTAGAAATGTATTCAAAGGTGCTTAAACCCTGGCAATGGTTTTAGGGCTCGGATGTGACTAGGTTCTTACCCACTCTGATTTTGACCCTGTTCACTTCCTGCTCAGACCTAGTGCATTTGTCCTGTATCTTCCCTGACCCCATAGTGATTGGTTTTCCATGTGCCTTCTTTTTGGGGTTCTGGCTACTCTCCAAGTGAGAAGACACCTGATGGAGAATCCTGTGGGGTGACTGAAGAGGGCCTACAGGAGCCTCAGGCCTTGAGTCTTTATGGTTTTTTCAGGACTGCGTAGAATGAATTGCGGGGTTGTTGAGAGGAGAGGAAGAAGTGGGGAGGGGGTATTATTGGGAGGCTGGCTCAGTGGTATGGGGTGGGGAGCCAGGGCATTAACTAGGAGAAGGTTTGCTGCAGAGGAGGGTGCCGCCTTGGGGGGTGAGATCTACCGGGAAGCCCGATGGGTTTAGGGTTGCCCTGTGGGCGCCTAGGCAGAGTGAGAAGGGTGTTTGCTCAGGAGTGAGGAGGGGTGATACAAGGGGTGGTAGTAGAGGGGGTAAGAGGATGGAGGCGGAGGGATCTTCTTCCTGCCACCACCCGGAGGAGGGTTGGGGATCAGAGGCTCTCCGGGTCTAGGCCTTCACTGGGAGGCGGGGCGGACCAGGGGCGGGGTTTCTGGAGGGGCGGGTCTGCCTAGAGAGGGGGCGGGGCCGTCCGGGCAGGTAGCTATTGAGGCCAATGAGCGCGCGCGCGGCGCAGACCCCGCCCCCAAGCTCGCCGCATATTCATGAGTCGCAGTTCAGGCGCGGGTCGCGCGGAAAGAAGGGGAGCGGCTGTCTCGGATCAGATAAAGCCGCGTTGCCCCCACACACCGGCCGCAGACGCGCAGAGCTCTCTCCGTGCGCGTAGCTGGCTGAAGGACCGCCCGGCCGGCCGCCGAGAGCGCAGCAGTCGCCACCCGGGTGCGCCCGGGGCCCGCGCTCCCGCACTGCCCATCAGTCCTTCCGCCCCGCTGCCCCTGCCGGAGGAGACAGGTGAGCAGGCGCGCCCGCCTCTAACACAGAGACCGTCCGCTTCCGCGTAGTCTACGCCACAGACTCGTGGCCGGTCCGCAGCTCCCACCCTAGGTCGCTCCCCCGTGGGCCGACATCCCCCCACCCCCACTCCGCCCGGCGAGGTGCCCCACCCCTGCCCTCGATACCTTGGCTTTCTGACTGCATCTGCAGATCCTCGTCCACGGAACCCTCCACTAGCGTCCAAAGCCCCCTGCCAGGGTGGGCGCCTTCTTTTGGGCTGGCCTCCATCCATTAGCATCCCCCTGGACTCCAGCTTTCGTCCGGTTCCACGGGAAGAGTCGGACCCTGCTTTCCATCCCAACCCCAGCCGGTGCCCCTCCTACCATCTCCGACTGCTGAGAGATCAGACTGCCCAGCACTCACGAACTGCCCCCGCGCGTCTCCTTCCTCCACCAGCACGCACACTCTGGCAGGGCCCCAGCTCTCCTCCCAGCCTGCCCCTCTGCACCGGGACTGTCCCTGCTCTGTCTTTTTGGGGGTCCCTTATTTCCTAGGGCTGCCTTTGCCTCTGGAGAAAGAGGCCAGGGCATCCTGGTCCAGAGCCTGTGTTTTAGATAAGTTCCTGCGCAGTCTCCGGACCTCAGTACACTTGGCACCTTTCCCTGGGCCCCTTATCCTCTCAGCCTTTTGTTTAACCCACTCCTGACCAGGATGCGCTGCACTTGATGGGCTCCGGATGGGCTCCCGGGGAGCACACTCCAGCGAGGGCTTTTCCGGGGGAGGTGTATTCAGATGAGGTGGGGTATCGCCTGCTTGCTAGTCTCTCAGAGATTCTAGAAGGTGGGGTCGGCGAAAGTCAGGGAGTACACCTGGTCTCATAGGGTTCGTGATTTTTCTGATGAGGCCACTAATGGAGAGTGGATTCAGGATAACAGTGAGACAGCCCTGTCTCGGTACTCCAGCAGAACAGACTTTGCAGCTCCTACTCAATTGGAGTGTCTTTTCTGGTCCAGGGCCTGAGAAGCCAGAAGGGTTTACAAGCTTAGTGACTGAAATAGTCGTGGTGTCAATCAAGTGAATCTCATAGCCTGGAGATCCTGAGGGTTGGGAGAAATTGCACAGGACATACCCAATTGTGCTTCGAGCCAAGTCTGTGCTTTTATGACTTGGAGCTGTCTCCTCTGACCTGCCTTCCACCAGCAGGTCGGGTGTGGTAAGATCCTTACCCTCTGGTATTTCCTCATTTTAGTAGGAAAAAGTAGGAAAAGACTGGAGGACTGAGCTATTGATTAAGCATTATAACAGATGATTTGACATCAGAAACAGGATCATCCACCCACCTGGAAAAAATTGTAGTAATTTCCTCATTTTTCTGTTAGATCTGAACAGTGTATTCAAAGAGCCAGTAGAGCTGAATGCTGGGCAGAGACTTTGCGGAAGCTGTCGGTGCGTGGGCGGGGCAGCGATTGTGGCCTAAAGCTGTGTGGGCTGCAGTTGGAAAGGACTCAGTCATAATAAAGAAATGCTGGGCTTCTGCGGACGGGTGGAGGAAGTAGGTTGTCTAAAATCAGGGGTTGCAGTGGCATTCAGGCTAATTGTTTTAGTGGCTGTAACTGAAAAGTAAAGATTTGACAGTTTGAAATGCATAGTAATAGGCAGGAGTGGTCCGTGGGTGGGTGGTTGGGGGTTTGGCGAGGCCGATAGGGGCCAGCTCCCTGGGTCTGTAGGGAGTCCTTTGCTCTTTCCACCTCGTGCGGAGATGTTGTGTGCTGCAGTTTTGGTCCTTGTCGACTCACAGAAAGAGATCAGAGATTAGGCTGGGCAAGTTCTCCTCTGGCAAGCTGTTAACACCGTGTAACTTTGTTTACTGGCGAGGTTAGGGTGGAGGATGGGTGGAGAGAGCTGCTCTTGGCATCCGTCCCTCTCCTGGAGCCGAAAGGTCCTGCCTCCACCTGCCACTCCGATCTGCAGTGGAGAGGACTGGGGCAGCACCACCTCCCACTCCCTGATGGAGGACAGGAGCTTGGGAAGTCATCAGAACTGATGTTGGGTTGCTTGTTATTGAATTATTTTCATATGAGCCGTCAGAAAGGCTGTTGGGAGGATGAGGGGCAGTGTTGGGCATTTAGGCTGCTGTTCTTATTGTCATTTTCCAACTGAGGGCATCTGTCTGCTGGTGCTCGCTTTAACTTGCCCTAAAGGCCCTGATATCCAATTTTGGGTGGCCAGTGGCAATAATTTGTTTCAGCTCTAAGGACTGATACTGAGCCGTGGTGTAGGTGAACACAGTTCCACCGAATTGTCAGTACCCTCTTTAGAAATTCCCTTGCCAGAGCCTGTGTGTGATCTGTGTAGCTGCGCTGTGTTGTTGTTCAGGGTTGAGCTCACCTCCTCTGGTTCCCGGGATTTTTGAATCACAGTTATGTTGCTGAAGATGTGCTCAGTGAAACACTGTGAGAAGCGCTGCTGTGACTCCAAGCCAAGAACTACATGCATTTTAGTTGTGTTGAGTGAAAAATCCAACCGCTGGAATAAACCTGATGGTTAAAGAGCAGCCGTGGGGGTGTTGCCGGCTGCCGAGGTACTTAAAAATATTACAGGCAGTGAGACAGGGCTAGGTCCTCAATGGACCTCAATGGGTCCTCCAGGGCAACTGTGGGGCTGGGGACTGAAGCCTCCTGCTGTGGGCCAGGTCTCAAGACAAAAGACCATTCAAATGCACCCATATCCCGAGGATTGATACCCTACATAGTTCCCACCCCCCTAGGGAAGAGTCACTGCCCCTTAGGAATGCTTGCTTTCTTCTTCTTCTTTTTTTTTTTTTTTTTTGTCTTTTTCCTTTGCTTGCTTTCTACGTGACTCGCTTCCCCATTTGTCCCTAACATAATCAATTTTATCGGAACTATTGATCTTATTGGCTAACTATAGTTATGTCGCACCTTATGCCCATCTGCCTTGTGAGCTCCCAGCCTTCCCCCACCTTGAACCCATGATTTTATTCTATAAAAGTCCCTGGAAAGGACAGAGTCCTTGGCAACCCGCTCAGGACTCCTGTCTCTTCAGACAGAAGCTTTTTTTCTCTCAATAAATATATTCTTCTCTTAACTTCCATTGTTCCTAAAATTCATTCTTCGATTTTAGAGAACATGAACTCACAGATACAGTGAGTCTGGAGTCTCATCCCCTAAGCAGGAGTCCGCAGAGGGCCTGAGCTGCTGTATCTCCTCTGCTTCCTCCTGCACAGGTTCCCTGTGTGGGGTTTACGTTAGTGGAGCTGCCCCACCAAAATCAATGAACAGGGATCACTTTAAAGGTGGGGCTTTCAGAGTTTAAAAAAAAATTCTAGTTTTAGCCTCTTTTGAAGTGAGGTGCAGTTTCAGAGAACTTCAGGGGCCTTTCTCCAGGCTGTTGGAAAAGAGCATTCTCTGCCCTGAGCCAGAAGAGAAAGGAGACCAGCTGTGCCAAAGGCAGCTCCAGCCCCTAGCCATTTGAGTGGAGGTGATGTGGGAAATATTTAGTGAAGGCCTAATAGTGTTTATGGTGTCCTTGGCAAGTGACCTGTGAAAGAGGTGTTTTAAGAAAGCTAAAACTCACTGATTTAGGGGCAGCAACTTACCTGCCTACTGTTTTCCTATCAACAACGATTTTCCCCTTTGCCTTGCATTCCCTTTGAGAGGAGTGGGTAGACGATCCGGTCTTAGAGGATGTAGATGTTAAGGTCCACTGTCAGGATGGATCCTTGTTGAGTGAAGTCAGCTTGAGAGAGGCACAATATCAGGTTTCTGAGAGAAGCTGTGGGACCAACGCAGACCCCTGCGGTTGGAGAGAAGGGCTCCGAATTACTTGGCACACTGCTGTGTGACTTTGGGTCCTTGGGTAAGAAAGAAAGGTTTCTCTTTTGAACAAGGGTGCAGCTATAAATGTTGTCACCAGGCTACCTTCCTGTCTAGTGAAGGCTCATGTTCCTCCATGAGTTCGGGGGAAGCCAAGAAAGGTGTCCTTGGTGCTAGCAATGGAGTGGCAGCCTCTCTCTAACGGAGGGGTCCTGTGGTGGATCCCCAGCAGCCTGGGTTGAGAAGGCACTGTTCAAACCTAGGCCTCTGTTTTCATCCTCCTCAACCTGGTGAGGGATTTTGCTGGCAGGGAGAGAAAACTGCATTCCTAAACCCAGACTGATAGGTGCTTAATTTCCTGAGTTCAAACAGTACCTTCCATCCTGGGGTCCTGCTGCCCTGCTTAGTTTAAATTTTGAGGATTTCTGCATCTGAGGAAATCAGAGCCGCTGGATTGGTTGTCACCCACATTTGTCTCATTACAAAGAAAGGGAAATTGGGAGTAAAAAATGCACAGTAGACCCTTGAAACTTGATAAAGAGGAGTTGACACAGTAGTGCTTGACTGGATCAGATGTAGTGGTCACGACTTGACATACAAACTCTGTGCAGTTTGAAGGATCATTTGGACATAAGCCACTGAACAGTGAATGAGCTCCTTATCACTAACAGTCTTTTTAGGACACTATATTAATCTAAAGGAGTGCAATTTTTGGTTTGAGATGGGAAGGGGATATTTTTTCATCACTACATTATGTTGGCTTTGTTGTCATTGTTGTGGCAGGGGAGGGAACTCTGGACCGTCAGCATGTGCCCACCATCATTTCTTTTCTTGTTTTGAAGGAAGTGGTTTTCACATCTGCACTGGAGATGAAGTCACTTTCCAAAGTATGTTGGACAAAAAGGGAAGGACCAGCTGGGGGCCAATAGAAAGCAGCTGTTCTATCAGTGGTGCTGGGTTAAATTAAGAATGTGTTCTGTTACACTGAAATGGAGGCTGTTTGGCATCTGTCTCACAAGTTCCATAAAATATCTTTGAGAGGCTGAGCATGGTATGGCACATCTGTAATCCCAGCATTTGGGAGGCTGAGGTGGGAGCATCTCCACCCTGGGCAGTTGAGCAACACCAGGTCTCAAAAATTGCTGAGAAATAAATAATAGCTCAGGGGTCGAGAACCTGAGGGTTTAACCCATCAGTTCTGCAAAACAAAAACAAAAGCAACAGAAAACTTCAAACTTTGAAAAACTGTGGCCATATTTTAAAATATAGGAATGTCTAAATATTTATGATCATAATTTTAAATAGCTATAAAAGAAGTAATTTCTATTGTAGGCATTTAAAAGTTACTGTTCTGTTGCTTTTTAAATACTAAATACTCAGGGCTGGGAATTTAGCTTGGCAGGCATAAGTGCCTGCCTGGCAAGTAGCAGGTCCTAAGTTTGAGCCCTGCCCCCCCAAACAAAACAAAGCAAAACACCCCAAAAACCACAACAAACAAAAAACCTAAATACTCTAATTTGATACTATCAGTATCCCTTTTAAAAAGTATGTTCATAAACACTGTAAAACTTAGGTCTTTTATTTCTGTACTTCTGTGTTAATTCCATTTTCCCTTGTGGACTTTTTTATGTTAATGGGATGTGCTTTTATACATGAATCTCTTTATTGGTCATTTTTCATACTTTTTGGTGACAAAAACATATGTAAATTATCTGTTAACTCAATCTGGAAAATTCATGTCATTGTTATTATTATCAGTACACAAGTGATTACAGGACCCTAAATGTGTTTTGCTCGAAATTACTTGCTAAATACACCAAATAAAACCACACTGGAGTGTGGTCTCAGAGCCCTGGGTGGGCGTCCATTTAAGGTGTCTCATGTGAAGGAACTGATGAACCGTTGTCCCTGGTACCAGGTACTCCTGTGCTGCCAGAACGCTGGCAGGAGCATCTCCTTGTCTAGCAAGGGAGAGTGGGAAGGTGACTTTGGCTGCAGGTGGGGCCACCAGGGCACTGAGACTTCAGCAGGGCAGCTGCTCAGGTTGTGCAGTTTTAGGAAACAGTGCCTGGGGAGCTGAGCTCCCTTAAAGCTTCCTGGGCTGGGAACCCCTTGGACTACTCTTGGGTGGCATCCTGTGCCTTTAGGTGCTGGGTGTGTATTCTTGACCCAATGCCGCTGTGCTTGGTCGGGGGTCAGCCCTCCCTAGTTTGTCAATGACACCAGGGCTGCTGTTACACTTCAGTATATAACTGTATGTTTTCTAAATGTGCTAAATGTGCTCATAAAAGGCAAAAGGTGATAGATTTTGTAAATGTGCACTGTTTGGTTGGTGGCAGTGTGTTTATATTTGGTTGGGTTACAATGTGAACCTATGGGATTATGCCTTGAGTTAAATTTTAATTTTCCAGAAGATGTGTTAGAAATGGAAAAAGTGATGTGGCTGGACCATGGGCTTCTTCGAGGTTCCTGCCCGGCAGTGTCTTGTCTTCCCTCACAAACCCTGGGATTGTCTGCTTGTCCCT